GAAGGGACACATGACATAATACCATTTGAAAATGAATAACTGGCAGTGTAGAAATAAAAATACATTCATCCTTTTATTTTGGCAGATGCAAAGATCATACATGCAACATAATAGACAAAAAAATAGCCTTATATAGGCTATGCAGATCAGTTTATTTTATTTCACAAAGTATGTGGCTGTTCCTAAAGGTGATATGGTGGGCTGTATAATAAAAGTCTGTCCATGTCCTCATCATAGCACCAGTGGATGGGCTCTCTTAATGTTACACCTTTGCACCTGCCTACCCCAGGTTGGGCAAGTCTGGTTTATGACATCCTGCATTTACTCTACAAAAGAGTAAAACCCTACATGAGTAGTTACAGTAGCTGTTAGTTTTATACCACAACATGTTTTTTCTTTTTACCTTTCCTTCTTCAGTAACCTCATGTCCACATCCTTTAAATAAAATTGTATAACTTTTAGTATTTTCATAAAGAGGGAAGTTTAAAAATAAATTTGTGGCATCGCCTGCCTGTGAGTTTAGGCAGTGTGTCACATAAAATAATCTCAAAACACTGAGAAGCTGAAGAGTTTAGTAATGACAGGCTCTGGGTAATATTGTCTATCAAAGAACATTCATTCAGATTCCACACTAACCTTATAAAAAACAAAACAGATTTAAACTAGTGCTAATTAATTCTACAAAATGCTTAAAGCAATGGGAGGAGATACAGCTCTAGTCTTTTTCTTTTTATTAAAATTTAATTATATTCATGAACTAGTTGTATGAGGAGTTTTCTGTTCTCAGGTGACCACATCTAATTAGTGCATGGAATGTGTTTCAGTACTTCTGATTTCAAACATCAATTTTTAAGAAAATTGATGTGATCTTTCCTCTTTCAAAATGTACAGTCTTGCTTTAACCTTGGCATTTACAATATACTGGTGCATATTACTAGGGCATATCTAACTGTATGTGGACAATGAAAGATCAAGGATCACCCCAGATGGGATGTACGTTGGAAAAGTTTATTCTGAAATGAACAGAATGAAAATAAATACAACTTTTCAGGGAAGGGGGAGACTTTTGGCGGTCAATCCACAACCATTCTCCAGCACCTTTGGCATTGCTGGGCCAGTGATGGTGCGACTGAATGAGGTGGTGGTGGGAACGGAGGGATCTACCCTCACTTGATGAGTGGTCACCCCTTGTCCCCCGTTCCTCACCTCATGTGGCGAGTGGAGACGCGCCCCTGGGGGGAGTAGAGGCCGAGTGATGGGTGGTCTACAACGGAGAGCTGATTGTGATGTCCCGAGAGAAAAGGGCTTGAGATGAAATGGAAAGGAGAACAAAATAACAACAAACAAGATGGGTTTGCTTCAACATCCCTTGTACATAGTCCTTATCTTTCTTTGGTTGGTCTTTGAAACAGTGTAGATGTCCTGAACACTGTTGGGCTGTCTGTAGCGGGCTAAAGTTTCTTCAGCACTCCTACTGTCGGCCTCTTACACAGACATGATGTGCTTGACGAAAGCTGCAGAATGAAAAACACATCTGTTCAAACCTATATTTATAATTGTGAAAAGTCAGGTTAAAACAAACAAACAAACAAAAAAAAAAAACAGACAAAGCATGTAGAGAAATCAAGCATTACCCTCATAGTGCACCTGCCCGTTGTCGTCCTCCTGGCCGGCCATAAGGGAATCAATCTCTTGCTCGTTCAACTTCTCTCCTGCAGTTGCACAAGAATCGAGGTTAGGAACCACACTCTCTGTTTCACACACTATGTACTAAGCAAACTATATTTGTGCACTTCTATATTTGGGGAAGTTAACTTGAGACTCACCCAGGGTGCACAGCACAATGCGCAGCTCAGCCCCCATGACTGTGCCGTTGCCCTCCTTGTCAAAGACACGCAGACCCTCAACGTAGTCGTCGTAGGTACCTTTGGGGAGCGCGTGGGCTGTCTTCAGCATAGGCAGGAAAGTGTCAAAGTTGACCCTCTTGTTGGCCAATTCTGTTCATATACAAATATTATGTGGAGGGTGCCATCACTATACACATTTTCTACTATCTTAGAAAAAGCACAAACATCTCTGCTGTGTTCACCCTGCTGCTTTTCAAAGCTTGTGGTCATAGATTTTCTAGAAAATGCTCACATTTTAGCTTTAAGTGATAGGAAGAAAAACACAATCCTCTTCTTATAAATAGAAATACTGAGCAATAACATGCACCCTTTCTCTTGTATTTCCATTTTACTGACATGGCCCTTCTCAGTCTAGTAGCATTTATTGCCCATTTATATCATAACTGCCTTTAAACTTTGCCTGATATTTGTTTGCATGCAATTAAGGTCTTACCTTCAGCACTTGGGTTTCCCAGAATCTTCATAACATCCTTGTTGGTGGGGTTCTGGCCCAGAGCGCGCATGATGTCGGGAATCTGACTGTAGGCCACCTGGTTGTCACCAATTCTGTCGAAGAGACCAAACGCCTCCTTGAAGTCTGGCAAGAAGGGGAAGGTCAGGAGAGAAGTTAGATTTATAAAGTAATGGCCCAAGTTTGCCAAAACAGAAAAAAAAAATGCAATTTCAGTCTTGTCAGGTACAGTTACAGTGGTTACAATGCTTCAAGAGCTACACACACTGGCGTTATGGACTCAGGGTAGCATAAGGCACTTTGGAAAAAGACAAATGAAATGAAAAATATAAGAGGATTTGCTGAGGCTATTGGACATGAAAAATAATCCTTTTTATATTGCCATCAAAAGCTCAATTTTATATGTCTGGAACAAAACCAATGTGAGTAATGTTCCCTTTTTGGTGCCCATTAGAGCCAGTCCCTTTGAGTTTTATTCTTTGTATCACAGGGTTCTGTACTCAGCTATGTGGTGTCACACTGTGCAGACAAAGACAGTGGAAGCCCCATACTTCTGTCATTGCGCTCAACTAATTGGAAGCGACAGCTGTATCCAAGCAGGAAAGAGGAAGGTACTGACTAGGGTCTGAACAAAGGTTATCTATTCATATGAATCCTCCCAGGAAGCCGACTCGGTGACCTTTTTGATAGATTAATGCTCTTATGTGGTTTCTGAAAAGAAGCAGCAGGAACAGCTGACCTGGCCCTCTCCAACCCCCTCCACTCACATTTGGGAGGCATTTAGTGCAACAACGGGAGCAAACTGATACACCCTGCCAGAGTAACCCAGGCCATATAGAGGCATGGCCCCACGGCTCTGCTCAAGTTAAGCATAAGAATGCTGACCGCGGTGTAATGAACACCTTGTCTTGCATGGCCTGCATATGTTCCTTTGGCAACCGACTTAACGTAACACTAGATATGCAGTATAAATGTACCCGAATGTGCTAAAGGTGCACTTTTTCTTTGAAAGTCTACAATGAACTCAATAGAAAGCACTCTGAAGCTTTGCCCTGCAACTCTAAGATGCACAACTAAGAACCTTCAACTGCATCACCTCTACGTGACCATGTGTAGTACTACAAGTGGTAGCATCAATTGATTATTACGTAGACCAATTCAAGTTGAGGGGGGAAAACAGAATATTTAAAATGAGCATCAGAATGTGAAGCCCACAACAAATGGCTTCCACCAACTATTTTAGAGCATGTCTTTCAGCATTGAACAAAAGGCTCAGGGATGCTGCTAGAGGATCGCTGTTTGGATTCCTTGTGTAAGGTGATGCTGCTGCACCAGCATCTTGAACCTTGGTCTGGGGATTAACACCTCTGCTGGGTAAGAGCCAATCTGGCTATCTTATATTAGAAAAAACATATTTCAAATCCTACTCAACAACAAGATGTGTGTGAGAAACAGGCTGTTCTGTGGTAGTCTTCACTCTGGAATTGTCTTGATCCCTACTTCCACCTTTTAGCACTAAATGTAGGTAGGCAAGCCTGCAGCTACTCTGGGAGATTGTTTAGTGTGGCAATTACAGAAAAAACCCACTACAAAAATAAGCTGGGAAGACAAATCTGGAGGGCATACTCTCTGTTGATGGGAAGGCTACAAGTAAATGTCGCCCTGCACAATGAGGAGGTTGATGGGAAGGCTACAAGTAAATGTCACCCTGATGAGGAGAAAAGCAGGATTCAAATGTAGTTCTTTCACATGCCAAGTTTTTTGTTAGGAATGAGGATGAATCTTGCTTTTTGTTCACTTACCCTCAATCTGGTCTGCTGTAAAATCGGCCTGTCACATGAAAACAGAGAAAAACACAAACAACACAGCATATTTACAAATACATAGACACACAAAAGAGAGAAGTGAATAAAAAACAAATTATTTGAGTTCAGAAATAGAAGAATCAAAATCCAGTTTTTGTAAGATTTACTAACAAAGCTCGATCTAAAAATGTATGCCTTCAAACTGTCCAAAATGGCACTAAACATGTGATGGCTGGTGAATCTATTGGTATTTTTATACAAGCATACAGAGACATTAAGAATAGAAATGTGATTTCAAGGCAGAGGTCCTGGGCACAAAGTAACAAACGCTCAACTATGAAATCTTCTGAGAAGTGGACTTTTGTCACCACTTATAGAAGCCAAGCCTTTCAAAGCAGTATCAGTTCCTAGTGCAATTTCAGTGATGCCAATAAAGTCCAATTTTGAGCATATTTTGGAAAGATGGTATCCAGACCATGCCACAAAAACCTGCCCCTGGCTGGGGAAGAAATAAAAGTAACTCCATTAGCACCGCCCCACCCAAAAGGTCCAAAACAATTTTGTACACACCATTTTGGAGAGCAGGAGCTGGACGAGCGGAAAGAAAGAAGGTGAGAGGCTGAAGTCCCCAGACAGAGTGGTCCTGAGCCATGGTCAAAGCCCCCTCTTATTTATCCCAGACATGTGATGTCACATATGCTACCAGGGCAGATCAGATGACACATTGGGACATCTTTAACTTTCTTAGGGCAAATGGAAAGGAGAGCTGTGTGTCCTCAGAGCAGTGGGAGTAGCCCTTTAGAAGGGGACAAGGCTATTTTTAGGAGGTAAAAGATCTGTCTCAAGAATCTGCAACTTAAGATTTTCAACAGTTTTTAAACATATTTCTACTTTAAAAGACACTTTCATTGTCTTGACATCACAATTTTACTGCTGGGAAGAGATACACAGTTGATTTGTGTCAGTGAAAGTGCAGAAAACTCAGCTGCCTCGTGTTCCACTTCAGAAGGGCTCCAAGCCCAGAGGGCTCATTAACCAAGTGGTATTTTTAAACAGTCACACTACTCCTCCACTTATGGTTAAACAGCAGCAGGTCAAGAAAACTCTTAAATGGTGGTTTTGTAACACTACTGTATGACATCACATTACGGACACTATCCTTCATTAGATGTCCTAAAAACCAGAGAAAATGCACCAGCTTATCAGCAACACACAAGAAATAAAAACATTTCAAAGTGAAAGGCTTCTGGCATTAAACACCATAACACACAGATTTGCTTCACCTCTAAAAGAAATCAATAATGGTTTCCTGAAAGTACTCTGTAATCATCTGAATAAAAAGACAATACTGGAAAGAAACTGGATTTATACAAGGACCAATAGGCTCAGTTGCCCAGAAGTTAAGATCTATGACCCAACACAAAGCTGCTTCACTACCACGTCTACTAGTGCTCTCCATGGTGCTGATGGCTATATCTATCAGGAACCTTTATTGATACTGTACGCCTAAGACATTTGCTACAAAATTCAACAGATTGTGTCTTAGAAATGAGCAAAAACTGGAAAATGCAAAGAATATTTATTTTGACGGGCCAAATAAGGTTGGCTGTAGTTGACATTGTGTTAGTTTAATCATTTATCACCATGGAAACAGTAACTCAACTCAAGGCCCCCTTTTTTCTGGAGCTTTTCTTTGTGATGTGGTTGAAAGCTCCAGAAAAAGCCAGTACACCGCATGACCCCATAACAGCAGTTTAATGTATAAAAGTAATAAAACCACATGTTCAGTTTTAAAGTTCTATTTTCCTTTGCTCAGAGAAATATACGGCATCTATTGCTCCCACACTGGATGCCATCTTACCTCAATGCCACAGTTTCCCTGTCTCTCTCGTGAATGGAAATATACTGTGGAGATATAAAGAAATAATATAGACATTGATGATTGAATTAGTAAAATCACAATCAGACCATTACTACTATCCCTGGCCCTGGAGCTCTATGTCTCTGACAAGCAGCCACCAGCCACATCGACCTGATCAGTGTTTGATTGTTTGTTGTGTCTTGGGGTCTGTCGGAGGTTTCTTCCGTTAAAGGGAGTTTTTCCTCCCCACTGTCGCCAAGTGCTTGCTCAAGGGGGGTTTGTTGGGTTTTCCCTATGTAATAATATTGATAACAGTAAGGTCTAGACCTTACTTTGTAAAGTGTCCTGAGATGACTTTTGTTGTGATTTGGCGCTATACAAATAAAATTTGATTGAACTGAATATTACTAGCAAACTGAGAAAGAACAATCATTTTTGACTTAGAAAGCTTCTGAATGTAATTTCAATTGCAATTCACTATTAATTGTTGTCTTTGACCCAGGTGAACGAGCTTCACCTATTAACTGGGATGAACAGTGTAAGGTAAATTGTTCATCATGTAACTGACATGCTGAAATATACACTATTGATACTGTTTAATTACTAGACATTTCTGAAAATCACCAATTTACATTTTAATATTTTTTAAACATGTTTTTGTGGCCCTATGAATGCTCAGAACTCCAAAATGATTTCCATTCCAAGTTTGTGAAAAAGGACAAAGCTTAGAAAACTGACTAATGGCGTTCATGCTGCCAAACAGCAGTTGGACTAACTTGGCATTAACTCTGTAATACAGAATGAACGACTGCTGAGCGTCAAAAGGAAAACAGATGGGAGACACTTGTAGGAGTGAGTGAACCAAAGTGAATGACATGAGAGGGAGACCACACCCCTGGACAGATGAGCACTATTTTTACACCCATTCCTACTGGAGGGGTTCGGCTTCTCCTACACTTTCAACTAATTGCCCAATTGCACAGCCTTAAGAGCGTGCATATCATGAATGCTGGGTCTTGTTTGCTTTCTGAGAATCTACTGCACCTACTGGTAACTTGTTTGCCATGTAGCAATAAAAGATATACTAAAAACCTGGATTATTCTGGTTAGTCACATTGTACTGCTATTATTTTGAACAATACTGTATTTTGTGTCACCACTTGGTTTTCAACAGGTTACATAAGCCTTATTTGTAAGGTAGTCTAATTAAGTTAAGCAAAGTGTCCCAGCCTTTCAGCCGTTTGTCATACATGACCTCTACTAAATTCCTTAAAAATTGGTTATATGCAATGAGACAGATGTCACATGTGTGAGTCTCATGATTTCTTGTGTTATAACATGGTTTACAAAGGCAATTTCTTAGATAATTTAGTCAAAGCAGATCACACCATGGACCTTTTTTACCCTCTTATATGCCATATCTATACATCTATCAAATATGGAAAAATAAACCAACTGCCAAACTTGCACTGTCAAAAGAGCTATTCATGAAGTTATTCACTGCTTATAAATGTACCAGTTAACAAATTAAAGGACAATGCCTCTGCCCATAAGGCCTGAGGGGGTCACTGAATGGTTTGAGAATGACAATCATATGCTGTGGCCTTCACAGTCACCAGGTCTCAGCCCAGCTGAACACATATGGGAGGTTTTGCAGTGACGTGTTAGACAGCGTCATCATCACCATCATCATCATCATCTAGACACCACCTGAAGAATGGAAGAATGGTGTTCATCCCTCCAGTAGAGTTCAGACTTGGAGAGTCAGCGCCAAGGTGCACTGAAGCTGTTCTGGTGGCCCAACACCTTAGTAAGACACTGTATGTTGGCTCTGTACGTTTGTCAGCGCCACATGTCTCTGTGCTGCCCCTTTGTGGCTCTTCTTTGCTGCAGCATCAAAACCAGAACAGGAGCAGCTAAAGTTCACAACAGAAGGCGGGGGGTGGGTGGGTGGGGGGCACATGACACAGTGTGTGCACCCATTTCTGTTTTTGCTCAGGCAATACACACTTGTTAAGTGTTAAAGCATTTAGTTTTCCAACTATTCCATTTGATGTCATTTCCTTCCTTTTTGCTGAAACCTTAAATGCATCACAATCAGAGTAACAGCAGGACTTGCATTTATACACAAACAAAAAGATACAAACTCTGGAAACACTTTGCTTATTTACATATATTCAAGATAGTTATGAGCCGAGATGTGAGTACAGAATTTATCCTGTTGCTAACATGTCCCGTTCCAGTAGAGCAGAGCAGGAAGAACATGGTACAAAGTGTGAAGCAGGAGTCAAAGTCAGCCTCAAGACTCAATTTATCAAGTCCCACAACATTTTTTATGGATATGAAGGCAGTTTCCATGCACGTTTGTGATAAAGAGAGCACAAGTAGAGGTCTTCTTGTGTTTGTCGCAGTGTGTGGGGAGGACTACCTGTCAAAGAGCCTTTAAATCTCAAAGGCCGGGAACCTAGCTTTCAAAGGCTGCAGTAGGTCGGCGAGGAAATAGATGGTGCCTGCCATGCCTGAAAAACAGAAGGCCACGTGGTGAGTTTACAGCCACAGCAGTGGACACTACAGGAACACTACGATGCAGTTCAACAGCCTGAAAATACAAAAAACACTACATATTATTGGATTTTTTAATACTGTTTACACATATTGTAGTTCATGAAGCATTTCAGGCTGCAAACAACTGCCCTTTTTTCATAAAATCTTGAAAAACAGCCTTTTTTAATGCTGACAAACAATGCTGATTGCTAACACAACTTTATTGTCCACTAAAGTGAAGACAATGACAACATATAAACACAAACACAACAAATACACATTCCAGTTCCACAGGCCCTGAAGCCTGGCCAGTAACCAGTTCTTTGGTTTTCTTTGTCTCACTGTGTATGCCAGTGTACTTTTAATTAACCAGTCTGCTTCACCTAGCCCATCACCAGAGCTGGAAACTAACTCAATACATTTACTCAAGTCTTTTACAGAAGTCCAGTCTTGGTGTGCTTTACTTGAATATTTCTTATACTTCATACTATAAAGCAGCACCAAATATTGGACTTTGTACTCTAATATATTTACTTGATCAGTTGAGTTACTTGCAGATTCAGATGAATAACATCAAATATGAACAACAAATACATTTTTTCTTATGAAGACCTTATTGATCCTTGTGGGAAACAAGTTCAACAGCAGTGTATAAAGTAATTAGATCCACTGTTACCAACTGCAACATCAACGGGCCATTCACTAGCCTCAGTACCTTTACTCTAAGTATATTTGGATGCTATGTATGTTTACTTAAGACATTTATTTGCAAAAAAGTAGTTCTATACTGAAGTATTACTACTTTTACTTAAGTAAATGATCTGAGTACTTCTACTGCCACAGACAAACACACTGCAATAAATCTGATTGAATGGTCACTTGTCACAATATTTGCTGCATGAATTGCCGATGCATAGGCTGCAAAGACTAAAATATTATGTAACGTGTCTCACATAATGTATCATGATGACGCGTAGTGTGCCAGATACAGAAGACTGCTTCAGCAAAGGGAAAGTGTCTACAAGCAAACGTTGTCATTTATTTCCTTTATACAACTTAATTCAAAGGGACTGGTCCGATTACCACTAGTCCGCTCACTTCTGTGATGTGTGTAAGAAGGCAAGTCTCAGAGTAAGAAGATATTTTGGGCAAGGGGGACAAGTCATCACGTATTACCTTCAAAAAGTGAGAAGGGAGTATCTGGTGTTCGGCATCCGTGTTTGCCATAGTTCATACACCAGTCTGCAAACTGTAGAGACAAGAAGAAGAGAAACAAAGAGAGGCAGTGTCATAATCACATTCCTGTTCTATCACAACAGTGCACTGTAGCTGAACTGTCTCAGGAGGACAGGGAACTGTGCTCCTCTCACTGAAATCCCAGCAATTGTCAATGTATCAGATTAAGACCACAGTGTCACTGTGTTGCACTGCGAGCATATGACATCTGAAGAGTCTACTTCTATCCTCTATGAAGAGATTCATATTAATAAACGTACACGTGGGACTCGCGCCATCTGGAATGTATCCAAAGAGCTTGCTACCGGCTGGCTCCGTCCGCTTTGATGCCAACTTGCACAGACAGCTCCCAACCCACTGTCAATAAGAATAAAAGGCCCTGCCTCTCACGTGCCCAGTGTTTTTTGAATAATTTTCGATTTGACGGCTGGCGAGCTGCCAACTGTGCTGTGATTGGTTGTTCTTTGACCTGAACTTAATGACTTTCACATCTTACATCAAAGTCAGACAAAAGACAAGGTAATGTAAAGCCTCAAAAACCCCTTGTTTGTTATGGTTGTATTTCACACCGATACACTTAAAGAACTGGATATATTGGCTTTTATATTATTCGTTTAACGGGCAAAGCAGCAGTCAAATCCCACAACCGGTAGAGGCATACTATAAGTTAAGGTGAAACACTTACATTTTTAATTAAATTCCAGTTCTTATGTATTTAAAACGTTTATCAAGAGGCTTTATTTTGTTTAGTTATTTTTCACTCCTTTCTAAAATGTGTTTCTTTAGGAGGAGATGCTGTTATTTCCTGGCATGAAGTGAACACCAAGGGGCAGGCCTTACACATGTAGATGCTTACTCAACTTCAATAAATGAACAACACTTACTTTCTGCCTCCTGATCCTAACTCCTTCTGTCAAACGTTAATCAGGTATTTGGACACTAATGAAGACTGATGCAAATCAAGAGCACCACAATTATGTTTTGCAGTTGTTTGATCACTCAAGTGGCTTCTGTGCTGTGTCAAGGATGTACACTGATCACATTATTACGACTCTTGTATTGCCACTACCATGCAGGCTCTGTAAAGGTGCCTGGGGTCCTGCGTTTGCTGGTAGAGAGCCAGGAAGGCGTAGGCGTTACCCGCCGCACCATGACACAGGCCGTAGCCCTTCTTCAGCAAACCCCACCGCCACACCACCTCTCCACACTGCAGGGCGTCTTCCAGGTACTGAGGAACATGGAACACCTGGCATAAGCAGAGAAGGAAATGTGAAACTGAAATGTATGTTTTGTATACCTTCATGGTGACGCTGGTAAAGCCCAGGAGAAACCAGAGTGCTACTGTATAAGTGGAACCTACTGACTTACCACCAGTAACAAGATAAGCTAGGAAACATCAGACAATATGCTGTACTAAAGGTTGTGAAAAAATGATGGGTAAAAGCCAATACAACAAAGCCTGATAGAAAAAGAAAAAAAAGATTTTTTATCACACTTAACCATTGATTTGAAAAAGGGAAGAGACAGAACAGAAAGCAGTAGAGTCATTCACTATATTCATAAGAATCACTTGGGAGCAGCACTAAACATATACCAATGCTAACCTTCACCACAAGATGGCACTATGACTCTGTAAATGTCTTTCCTGTCTAAAACACTACATTATTTAACTGTTAACTATTGTTTGGGGGGAAAAAACAAAAACAAAACAATTGCAGTATTAATTGATTCGTTACCTTGTAAGCCTGCAGGAGCATGTAGATTACCCCTGGCGATCCGTGGCACCAATGCACCAGCAGGTCTCGATCATCTCCGATGCAGGGAGGGTAGTTTCCTGAGGGGAACTTAAGATGGCAGACGTGGTCGACGCTGGGCTTCACCAGCCTGTGTATGTGCTCCTCCACAGAGACGAAGCCTGGCTGCAAGGAAGAGATTGGGATTCTGAAAAAGCTGGAGTGGCAAAAGACTCTGCAGCAACACAGGCTGGCAGGTAAAAAAACAAAACAAAACAATAAATAGGCTAACTTTTTAATCACACTAGGCTGACTTTAGTGCTGAATCTATTTGTTCCTTACCCAGTTAGCCATTTAATCAGTTTTTCAACAACAATTTTAGGTATTGATGAATTATTTATCAAGCAAAAACATTCAAGCTCTAGACTGGTCCCAGGCCATAAAACCAGAGACCTGCATGAGGAAGTAGTAGATGCCAGCCAGGCCATGGGCGGCGCCAACATACTGCTCCTGGTACCACTCATACATCAGAGGGCTCTGGTTCTGGATCTTAAACTTCCTGCTTATGTGCTCGCCTGATGCCAATACAGCCTCGGTGATCTGAGGGACGAGACAACACATGCAGGCTCACAAACAAACCAAATTGGCACAAATGAAACAAGTCCATGCAGGTAAATTAGGGCAATTGGATATCAGTACGTGTACGACCATGCAAATTAGCACCAAAAGGCAAATCAGGGCAACTGAGGGAAGTGACGTCAAACTTAAACAAGACTGCAACTAGAAAATAATGTTATTTCTATTTACTCTAGAACAATGTATTACACTATTTTCCCTTTTCATTCAATACATTTTCCTCTTTTTTCTATGGTTACTGAGTAGCCAGACTTCCCTGGATAAACAAATTCTACTCCACAGCAGAGAAATCCACACATTCAGGAGAATACGACCCGCATCTTGTCTCAGACCATTTCCTTGTTCTCACCCACCTGCTGGATGTACTGCAGCGGGACCCTGTCTTGGCCCAGCTGTTGGCTGATGAAGACAAGAGAGTAGAGGTATCCCATCCGCCCATAAAGCAGCTCATCTGGTAGCCCACCTGAGCCTTTCACCACAGCCTTGTGATACTGCAGCAGTCTGGGAGGAAAACCCAGGCAACACAAATTTCCTGAGTCAGCATGGCCTTGTCTCATGACAAGCTACTGCACCACTGAGCCAAATCTTAAAAGTGATTTTCTATTCATGATCACCTCACTATGTACAATTAATTGTCTAATAAATCTAATCACAATTCCAGCTTCAGCACTTAAATAAATTGAATCAGGAGTTTTATTAACCCACTGTGACTGGAGTAATGCTCCAGTTCATTTCATCACATGGTCTGAGGTAAGCAGTCTGACCAATCACAGGCATTTATATGGAGCGCAATAAAAGCCAGATCCTGTGCCCCAACACTGCTGCAGCTGTGTGTCTATTGTACATGTGCACTGCACTGTTTTCAAATGCAAACACATAAAAAAACACTTATGTTTTATATTCCTCAGTTCAACTTTGTTTAGCTGTAAAAAAAAATAGTGATGCAGCAAAACTACTTGCTCGCATTATGTGGGTATTAACCAATATTTGGTTGAGTCAACCGCAACAAGCCATAAAATACAGAGAATTAATGTTTGCAACATGAGCACACAATGCAATTTATAAGATGTATATTTCAAGTACACGGAGTAGCTATTATTAGGATTAATTAAACACAAGATTGTAATGTGAATGAGGAAAGGGGGAAAAAATCAATTAAACTGACCTGGTGATGCACTCATCACTCTCTTGTCCCCTCTGCAGGCGGTAGTAGACCACAGCAGCCACGGCCAGGGGACCTGCATCCCCACAGAGGAAGGTGACGTCATGATGTCGGGTCAAACATTTCAAACTGCGGCTGACATACTCTAGTGCTTTCTGAAGGAAGGAGTCATCCTTCAACACACTGTGGAGATGCAGGTAGAGCAGAGCAATACCTGCAGACAAACAGATGCATGTTACTACTATGGAAACTAAACAGACCTAGAAATGCTTCCTACTTTAAACTGTTAATGAAGTGAGGCTGTGCATTTGGCAACCTAAAGATTAGAATGATCTAATCCTAGAACATGAGCACAGTAAGTCAGTTAACTGATTACCAATCATTTAAATACTTTGATTATGGATCAATCAATATTTGTGCATGCATGTCAAAAATTATCCAGCTCCAGCACCTAAATAGCTAATATTTAACTGTAGGTTGGGCCAAATAGATTAGTCAGTGATTAGAATGACTATGAGTTTCAGCTCAAAAACAAACAAAAAAAAGTTCCACTTGCTCCACTGAGTCTAATTTTCTCAAGTACAAAAAAGTATTTTAAAGCAAGTGTCCTCAATGTGCATCCAGCCTTACACCATGACATACAGTCACAAATATCCAGCTTCTTTCAACCACAGCTCATGATGTTATCTAGTTATATCTGACGTGTCAGTGTTACCACCTGCCCAGCCAGTGTAAGTGGTGCAGTTCCTTGGATCTGCAGACTTCAGCCCATTTTCCATGATAGCTAAAAGCTCACCGACCTTGCTTCTCAGCCGCTGGGAAAACTCTGATGTGAGCTGAAAGAAAGAAAATTTAAAATAATTAGGATTACATGGAAAAACACACAAACTTCAATTGCCTACAGACTTGTGCATTAATGTTACCTTTCCCTGAGAGTCAAACAACGTCTGTGTGGAAGCAGAGCTCCCATCATAGTCAGGATACGGATTCCTCAAGGCTCTTGTGTCCATTTTCACAGCCTTGTTACTGCTGTACTGCTTTGTATCTGCGTCGGCTAATCTGCAGAGAGAGGAGGCAATATGAGGCGAATGAAGTAGAAGTAGATCAGGCTAAAAATAGAAAGCCATCAGTCTTATAACACAGAATACAAGACCATTAAAACAAGGCAGTTCTGCAGAGCTACACTCCCACACACGTTTAAGGAGGCTAATGACAGTTTAGCTCTCAGCAGCTTCTGGTTAGCTTCGCTAAAACTAACACACTGTCGTACAAAGCATAATCACATATAGCAATTACTTCGAAATATGCCATCTGCACGCAAAGTTTAACATTTGGCCAAAGTTATATAATTCAAACACGAACAGATACAATACCTCTACAAGCACTGCGCAATTAATATTAGATTTTCTCCATCTTTACATTTTTCTGACCGGCGTTTAGCTTCAGCTGACGCGCTACTGCCACCTGCTGCAGCGGAAGTATTACTACAGCTCAAAAAACCGGGGGAGGGGGCATTTTCATATATTCTACAGATAAATGCCGACATAAAATATGTAAAGTATAAATAAATTAAATAAACAAAATACAGAACAGTACAGACACTAGAATATCATTTCTTTTACCCCATTTGCCCTGCGAAATCTCCTATCCCAGACAAAGACAAAAGCAAGCTAAGCATTTATAGTACCAACAATTCATGCTAATAATTCAAATAAAATCAAGCATTCCACTGCAATAAAAATTAGAAGATTGGAAAAAAGCTAGTAAGTGACCCTTGATTAATTGTTTTGTCAAAGTATGTCCAAGTATGTCTGCACTAAGTTATAATACATGGGGGGTGGGTAGAGCAGCCGCCTCCCAACCGGAAGGATGAAGGCAGCAGTCCACAAGTGTCCTTGGGCAAGACACTGAACCCCCCCAAGTTGCCCGTGATGGCGGCGCGTATGCACGCAGTGGCCCGGGGCCCTCAGCTCCAAACAAAATGTTGTTGTACATGTCACAATGTTACACTGACAATAAAATGAAGCTTCTTCTTCTGGTTATAAAACTGAATATAGCACTCCTATTCTGCAGAGAAACTAACTTACAAGAGCCTATATATGTAGTCAATATCTTTCTTTTAAGGAAAAGCATAACATCCAGTTAGCAGCCCTACTTGCAGCCCTCAGTATAAACTATGATTCATCTCAGTGTGATGCAGTTTTACTTTGCTATGGCTTCACTCATTTAGAATAAGTGAGAATGAATGTTTGCTTTGCTGATTATTTTTTCTGCAGAAGTGGCAGTTTATGGCCTGAAACATCTCTGTTTAGGGGCAGTTTAACATGGTGGTCTTGGTGATCCCATCAGAGCTGGTCACTCTCTGTAATTCTACAATGACAATGCCATAATGATCATGTTAAGGATTTCCAAAACAAACAGATTAGCCTAAATTCACAGTGTGGAGCACACTTCACAGACACTACTGCCATGGAAATGTCATATGCAACCATTCTGCTGTTGACCCTCTACAATGCCTTAGCAACAAATCATTCCAGTCAATGGTGATGATAATTCCTGTAGTCACAGAGAGGGGCTGGTATTGATTGGCATTCTGCTGAGTTTCACTGCTGATGTTCCACATTCTTATTGCAAACATGGTAGTTACACCAGGGGTGTAATCTCCCCTTTGAATGTTCTGTCCCCATGTGTGGCTCAGTCAAGAGAAAGAGCGCATTAAGACATTGTACATTCAATAGACAATGCAATGAGGCACGTCCTCTGCAGGGCTTTGATTACTGTTCTCTCTTTGCTAACATGCCTCAGTCGCTTCCCCTTGTTCCCCCATTTCATTGTGATTCCCTCTGGTTTTCCATGACTTTCTGCACTAGACTTAGTAAAAAAAATGATCAAAACTGAACCCAATTAAACTCTGCTCTGGACCAAATATATTAGTTGGTTCTCATAAGAATACAGGCATGTTTTATGCAGACAATCCTTTGTGTGTCAAGGGATGGAAGTGGAAGAGTTAGCATTAATCATCTAAGTCCTTTGTAAATTTTTTGATAATACTGCTTTTACTTAATAATAATCCTTCCTCCAAGCATGCAAACACTCTTCTTGACTTCATGCAACCAAAGTTTCAGTTGCTCATGTGCGGTATTTTATGTCCCACTATGGCTTTCAGCTTAATTACTTGTGTAACCTTTCTTTGAAAAGTGCAAATGAAGCTAACACTTACTGTAAATTGGCAAAAGCCAGTTTGCTACAGTCATCACTGTCACTCTTTTGTTTTAGTGTTTACCTATCAACTTATCTGTGTATGTGTATGCTGTATTTCCCTTAAGTTAAAAGAACTTGGCTGCCCATCATTTCCATATCAAAGAAGGTGAAGGCCAGTCACTTGATACAAACTACAGGGCTTTTGCGCATATATCTTGGGACTGTTCTACCTTGCCTTGAGGGACGAAGTATGGAAATGAATCTCAGAATGTGACAAGATTCAGAAGGAGACCTTCAGGCTTAATTCAAGTGCTGCACTGAAAGACATATTATTGAGCTCCCTCCCACTGCACCTGTGGGAATATCAGCTTCATGGAGCAAAATACATTAATTACAGGTGATATCGATCATTTGTTTATTGTTCATTTGTTTCTAGTGCAGAACAACAACCAAGCTGAGACCACATCTTGCAGATTGCTGTGGTAAAATATTTCATTTTCTCTTCATTAGAATGCTTATATGATTGTCGTGAGGATGGATTAGAGTTCTGATATTCTGTGTTGTTTCATATAATGAAAAGACCAAAATCCAACCACAGATGTGTCCCACTAACAGTACTGTTTGGATAACCAAAGCCTACTTATGCATCTCTTTCACAGATTCTTGGCCACAAGCTACAAGTCTATGGCCATGCTAGCCACGATGTTGCATTTAGACAGAGCAGTGTTTCCTGCTAAATGTTAATGTTTGTATATTAACTAATGTAAAAATGTACTAATGTGCACTCACTGAGGGTGAGGGGAATGTCATTAGTTTTGGACAAATTAAAAGGTTTAATTTAAAGGGAGCTGCTGCTGCTGGAAAAGTTAAGCGATCAATACGTTATTCTGAGGTGAACATGAATGTACTATTTTTGTTGAGATGGTTGACTAAAAAACAAAAATGTCAGCCTCATGGGTCAGGGGTTTTAGGAATTGGTTGCCAGGTAGTGTATAGTGTTTTGTTGTCCTTTGTAATGGTGATTTAACAAAAGTAACTCATTCAAAACTCCATAGACACCTGCTGAATACAATCCAAGTCGCCTGACAAAGCAAACTTCAGATCAGTTCTTTGGATCATACCTGGCACACGTCTCCTGCCTCTCTCCCTCCTCTCTGGGTCTCCCAGCCCTCCTTGATATTCACGTGGACAGCCAGCCTACTGCTGGAGTGTGTGAATGCTGCCAGAGCAGAGTCTCAGCAGACTCAAAACTGTGATGCACAAAGCTGACCATTTGACCTATAACCCACCACATTTTCTTCTCCCTCTGCAGAATAAAAAAAACAAACTCTTCCAAGTCAGAAAGGCATGCTGTCCAACACGATGTTTGGAGGTTGTGAGTGAAATAGTAACTCCCCAGCTGTGCACAGTCATTATTTTACCAGGGCACATCATGAATGTAGAGGTACACATGGCTGAAGGCTGGGTTAAAGATTCTCTGGCCTCTTGGTCACAGCCTTGGACAAATCTGTAATTTCACCACATATCACTTGTACAAAATGTGAAATGTTACAAAATGTATCTTTTTTATGACTAGCCTGGTAATATGTAGCTACTGATATCTGCTGAGCTGGGTCCTTTCAGGGAGCTGGCTGATAAATCTTTTTTTTCTGCAAGTTATGGCCTGCAATTTCACCTCCGCTTGATCATAGGTTTGGATGCAGATCCCACAGGGGAGCTGACACAGCAACTGTGAGGATTTCCTTTCACCGCCTTTTGAGTAGTGTGTAGTCCATTTGCACCTTCAACAGCAGAAAAGACACAAAACCTCAGATTGATGAGTGGCAGAAAAGGGAAAGAAAAGCCTTGCCCCCTTCCTCACCTTCCCTCCAAGGGGACAGGAACCATTTTGGTCCCAGGGAACAGCTTGACAACTGAGATAAAGAACATTCTGGTCTGTCACATGCTGCCAGTGCTAAAAATACACACAGTGTGGAATCTCCACACCAGTCAACTGTCTGGGAGAGGGAGGGAAGCAGGAGGGAGGAATGAAAGACAGAAAAAGAGGTGACATATACTTGGAGCATTTGAAATGGAGCAGAGAAAAAGGAAAAAAGAGAGAGCGAATGAGACTGAGCAATACAGAAGAAACAGATAAGAAAAGCACATAACAGAGCAGGGAGAGAGATACTGTGCTCACTGTAATATTGCTATCACAGGAAAGAGACATGAGACATAAGTTACACCAGCAGTTCTAAGCTTTCACACCTCATTCAGTACATGGCAAGCAACTGCAGAGCAGTGCACTGACAAATAACCCCCATAAATCTCTTTCAATTGGCCTGTAAACGCACATCCGAACACATAAAATAAACATAAATACATGACAGAAGGTAATGTGCACTCAATCATTCAAGATGTGCTTTCAGAACAGAGCGTACTATAAGGCTATTATGGTATGACCCATTGAAACGCTACAGTCACATGCCAATCATGAACTCTAGAATGGACTTCTCAAGGTTTACTAAACCAGGATTCAGCCAGTACTTCCTGGTTCCCCACAGAAAAAATCCAAGTGTAAAACCTGCAGTACAGTGGAATTTTCCTTGGGGATAATGGGTTTATTTATTCAATAATCCACTAAATTATTTATTTCAAGTTAGAGTTTCTCATTTACAGAAAGTGTTTGCATGTGCCACATAAGCCTATTCTTTGTGAAACGTAACATATTCATCAAACATATACCAGTACACAACCTATTATTCTTGTATTCATGGAAATATATTGCAATTTGACATGAACTCTTAACACAGTCCACTCAGCATTTCATGGTCTTCATCAGCAGTGGGAGATTATTCTCTTTTGTCATGGAAATGGTCCACTTGTTATTATGTGACCATAATATTTAGCTATTTTAATAAACAAGCTCCTGTTGATGGCCATGAAATGTGGCTGAAAGCTTAGGGAAAGCTTTTGCAAAACTGCTATTTTCAGGGTCAATAATGACATTTCATGCTCAAACTCTACAAGATACAAAAATACTGGTTTGTAGTATTTAATTATATATATGGCAAGTTGGTACTGTATGCTCTTCTGAAAGCTAGAACTTAACGCTATCATCAGTGAAAGTTTTACTCAAAGTGAAATGAATGCAGACAAAGAAAGCTGACTATTGTCAACACATTCAGTTTCACAAGTCTCCTTCTATCTTTCTCTCTACCCAGTCCTCCCACAGCAACCCCACTCTCTCAGAAATCGAGTTACAGTATGAATATTTGATC